TAAACTAATTAGTCGTCGTTCGTAACCGAAACGTAGTCGACACTCCCCCTCCCCCCCCCCCCCCCCCCCCTCCCTACTCTCTCTCTTTCTCTGTGCAACTGGCAACAATAACACCGCTGCCCAAACAGAGGACAGTAACTGATTTCTCCAATTCTAGAGTAATTGCAGAGTAACAGACACGCACGAATTCTCTTTTGCTGTTAAAGCAGAAAGAGGAAAAATATAAATTTACAACAAAAAAATTTCAGGGCAAATTTTAGCACCTATAGCTGTCTGATGCTCTTAAAGGGTCATTATCGGCAATCGCAAGAACCAACTTAGCATATCCAAGCCTCAGTTCATCAGGAAGATCCTTCACTTGTCCATAATCAAGCAATGCAACCTGAAAGGAATAATGTAAATAACAATCTTTGATGTACATTAATTGCGAGAAGGATGGCTGTAAATGCTTCGTTCAGGGACAAGTTTTAGGTATTCCAGTGTGCACTTGCCTCAGAACCTTTACAGATCAGAATGTTTCCCGGATGAGGATCTGCATGGAAGAAACCACTCTTGAGTATCATTTGTCCATAAGCAAGTGACAAATTTTTAAGGATATTCCTGCATTTTAAGAATGAAAAAGGGGGAGCTTCACTATAAACATTATAAGAAAAGAGCAACATAGAGGAGTTCCACATGGACACTCAAATATACACAGAACGAAAAATGACCACTTTAGAGGGGAACAAAGGCAGAAGACTTTGTATACATCAAGGAAACATGTCGGTGTATGAACAAGCAGGTAGGTTCAGAACAAGTTTTAGGATAATTCAGGGACTTACTGTTTTGCAGCTGCCGCTAACTTTCCATCAGGATGTATGCCTCTCTTTGCCATTTCATCTCCTAGCTTCAAAATGGGTATGCCATCAATGTATTCCATCACTAGAACCCTCCTAGTAACAGCATAAAGAAAGTGATGGCTCAGGTGGATACACATAGGTAGAATATCAACAGAAATAAACCAAAATTCACGCAAGAAATAGTTATTCTCAATCAACTAATTAAAATAAGCTCAAAAATCAAACTAATGCAGAGAAGAGAAATATAAGATAGAAAAAGTGGAACTTGTAAGCACATGGAAATGCACCTTTGACATCTTCAGAAGTAGATATAAGGGGGTAGAGTTCTTGAACTAAACATACAAAACCTTAAGTGGTGGATTACATAACTTTATGTGTTTCAAGGTCCTGCTACAGGATCTAATTCTGCACCAGATGAAACAAGCATAAGGTTTTCTTTTTCCCTTTATTTTTTTGGTTCTTTCAAAAGTATTTCCTCCCATCACTCCACCTAGTCTTTTTTATTTGCTAACTATTACCTTTTTTGTAGAACTAGTCTAGTGCAAACACCTAGCATCCACTTCCACATAATCTGATGCAAATACCTCCCACCCACCCATCTCTTCAAATCAATACATCAAATATTCTTTCTAAAAGGAAAAACACCAGACCACTTGTAAAACTCCTCATATTTTGTAAAAACTATTCTGAAGCAAGTTATCTGAAGAATATATATTATAAAGAAAAACATAGAATGACTAAGGCAAGGCCAAATAGACTTGATAAGATATCATTCAAATGAAATGATCCCACTAGAAAAATCTTGAAACATCGATGTTGAACCAATCTCACATTCAAGTCCCATAGCATGTGGGCGTTAGTAGTCTACACATGTGTCACCCAGTGTATGAGGGTCAATTCCATGAGTAGGTGGTCAAAACTCAAAAGTAACATTTCTTTCAGGAAGAACCAGGACGACAGAAAATATTATATCAATCCTCAGTACATGCAAACAAATATTTGATTGTCTTGCAATTACAGTATCAGGGAGACTATAAAGCTTATAATAAAGTGAATATGAAACAAAATGCAAATTACAAATTGATCCACGTGTATCATCGACTATGCCTTGCAAATAACAGTGCGTTTGAAGAAAAGCCTTATGTTAAGGATCTGAAATGTACGTACAATGGACTAGTATCACAGTGGAGAAACTAGTCACTTTTGTTCGATACTTAGTCAAGTCATAACAAAGTTAAACACTTGAAGGTTAAAGAAAAAGTCTTGACAAAGTTAAACACATTTATAGAAACACGATGTAATTAATAACCAATAGAGGAGCTAAAGTAAATAGTCTCATCTTACGTTTCACTATGCAACTCGTACAAAACAAATTTTCTTCACCTGAGCGTACCTGCTGACCATGTCTCGTATCACACGAGGTACCCGAACAGGGGACTTTTTGTTATTCTGGCAAAGGAAATGACGAATTCTTGCCATAGCTTCAGCCTCCCTCACAAAGTTGAATTCATAGCTAATCTTGAATGAACAAGTTAAAACCAGATTACTTCAAAGACGCAAAAGTCGGAAAAAAATAGTAATCTACTACGTTCACTTAACCAAGTAATAGTATTCAGGTGAGAAGAAGACAACTAGCTGCATGCAAATACCAACATATCAGTTGGTGCATATTCACCGATTTTCAAATATTTAGAGTCTTGTAGACAAACAATAGTGCCACATCAAACATTAGAGAAGTCAAGCACCACATAGAAAGCAAAATCAAATACATCAAAGATTGTATCAGACCATCTCCTAAATACTAATACCATTTTTGCACAGAGTAAAACACAAGAACAGTATTTCATAGGGGAAGGAAACAGCAATGGCAGCCCTACTACAATTAGAAACTGCTACCAAGAGAAATGCAAAATGTGTAAGTGAGCAAAAGAAACAAGAAGGGTTTAGGAATTCTATCACACACAAAATGGTGGGTTTAGGTTTGGGTTTGGAAATCACTCAATATATACAATCTAGTTCAAAATTCACAATTAATAACATTAAACATTAGCTAATTCAGCTTACGGAGGGAAAACAACTAGTCTTATGTCTATGTTTTCATTCGTCAGCGGTGATAACCTACTGAGCATTGACATAAATTGAATCAGATAATGAACATTTTCTTATAAGTTGCACTATCAAACATTTTCCTGGTGAGCATGAACAAATTGCTCTCATAGGCACTTATGATACACCGACTTTGGGTATGCTCAAAAGACTGAACGAAAATGATCATGAAAGTGTAAAGATGTACTAGGTCAACAGATGATAATCAAATTAGATGAACAGGTATCTAAATCTTTTGCTTTAAGCAGTTGAGACATGGCATAACATCCTCTGGAAGAACTTTAGTTATAGCAGTACAGAGTATTGCCCATAACACCAGACTTGTAAAGTCCTATAATCATAGGAAGGATATTAATCCCAGTTTCGTATTCCTTCCTTAGGTCCTCCACTAGGAGAACGTCAGCATATAGAAAAAAATTAAAGCAAGAAAATATCATGGATAAGGATAGGAGAAGAAAAGAAAATGAAAAGTCTAACAGTACACGACACATTGCAAATTCGTGAACGTTTTGCACCTGTTTCTCCATTTCCTTGGTAACGGAGAACAGATCAAACTTGACATCTGTCTTCTGAATATATAATGCAAAGGCTTGCAAGTTGCGGATATCAGTCATCATCAATTCCTGAACCCCAGGATGTTGGACCTGCAGTTGTATGACAATTAGAACCTCACAATAATATGAAAGATGACATTCAAATTCTTACCTTGACGACAATATCATTCTTGTCACCTTTGAGTCTTGCTCGATGAACCTGAAAAAATCATACATAAAGTTAACTTTTGCAGCAAGTCTTAAACCAAGAAACAACAAGATAATGTTTTAGATTTGAGCATGAATTAAATTCTATGATTAAATCTATAAACTTCCTTACTATTGGTTTGAGCTTAAAGAAATAAAGACTACTCAAATAGATCGCTTAAACACTTAACCAGCTTTCCTATCTTTCATCCCGTGATTCCATTTTTTTCTAGCAAAGAAATGTGTTTTTGAACATTCTATAATTTGGCAAGAACGAGAAAGGGAGCAGAAAAGTAGATACCTGCGCAATAGAGGCAGAGCCTAGTGGATCCTTGTCAAAATATTCAAACAATTCATCAATACTTTGACCCAACTCCTTCTCGAGCACTGCCCTAACCACATTGTATGGTGTAGATGGTGCTTGATCACATAGAGTAACAAGCCTTTTGACCCATGCAGCTGGCGCCAAATCTGGCTTCCCAACTATTTGGGCAACCTGACATCATTAAGCATCATAAGACTGAATATTTAACAGGTATTACAACACAGCATAAATTTTAAAAAATAACTGAAACAAACAATTAAAAACAACGGACTGTGATAACATAGTAACTCATAATATCATACTTATGTGCAACTTCTGAAGCATAACCAATGACAATCACGCGATTTCCTCAACAGGGTGGGGAGCGGCCCGAGATTAATACTTTTCAATCATAAAGATTTTACTGATAGTTTGATGAAAAAGAGGAGAAACCAAATTTAGATCACATGGTGACTGTTCAAGATTCAGAAAATTGAAGCAAATAATAATGAAGCCAAACCCCTGATAAATAAAGAAATTGGATGTTTTGTTTAATAGTTTAAATTCTTTGCACTAACAGCATAAGAAATATTTACATGATCAAGTCACTTAAAAGGTAATAGCAGGTAACTTTATTCAATAGCATTGATTAGTAACCTAGAACGAATGGTAAATAATCTGCTATAACAAGTTACATTACATTGATAGTGTAAAAATTCACTGCACTGTTGTTGTATAACTTAAATCCTTGTATTAATAGAAGAAGTACCTTGAGGAAAAACCCACCAAGGTCAGAACACATGTTATATATCTTGTCAGCAGCAACCTCGTGCTGCTTCTCCCACATTACTTCCTGTTTCTGCACATCCTTCTCTAAACTTGCTCTTACCTGAAATACCTACGCAACCCAAAAAAAGACCTTAAATATATATAATTGAACTACTATTTAGGAACAAAAGAGCTATGCATACACCAACACAGAGTGAAAGAGACAAAAGGGGGTTACTTTATAACCAGTATAAATATCAGCAGCCCGAACCCAGAACTGGAAAGACCGTTGCAAAGGCCGGAGTTGAGTGGACACCTTTTCTTGAAATTCTTTTAGGTCAAAATGGAAAAGCATGGCGATTGTGGAACAAAAGGATTTATCTTGATCACTGATTGGTAATTGCAAATGGGTGTTTGAAAAGAGGAATTTTTGGGCATTCTTTTGTTTAGCTCAAGAGGTCTCAATTACATGCATGACTTAGCTTGGAGTTTAACATCAATCCGAAATGGATAGTTTGAAAAATGGGATTGATAAGAAAGGTGAGCAGTTATATGTAGACTGTAGACGACTTGGCTCATCTTTCGGGTACAGGCAAGCCACACATATTGTACAATGGCTCCATCTTTCGGGTCAAGACAAAATCCCTACATTATTTCCTTTATTCCTCTTTTAATAAACCCCCTTCGTTTTGGACACATAATTTTGGTTAAATTTGAAAGAAAAAAAAAATGTGTTGAAAAATAGTTTTTGTGTTATAAAACTATAAAAGAAGAAGAATAATATTGTAGAGAAAAGTAGGAAGAGAGAATTCTTATTGATTTTGGGATGAATTACAATAGAATAGAACCCTCTATTTATAGGGAGAGAGTGACTTAGCCACCAAATAATAAACCCTAGAATCTCTCTAAATATAGACATTCACTATAAATAAAATTCTATTTATAGCACTCCAATTTGAATGGCTATTCAACAAATAATGTGCCTCGTTAAAACCTTAACTAAAATAAAACTCAGTGGGAAAAAAATTGGGGTTTTGACATAGTTACCCACAAAAACGAAACTATTTACCCTTGTCTACCCATTTGTTTTCCTACCCATAAATTAATTATATTTCCTACCCATAGTAGGTTCGGTGGGGAATTTTTTCTTTATTCTCCAATTCTTTTTTATTTCTATGCTTATTTTCTTTTCTCCTTTTTCTTGTTTCTCGTTTTCTTCTTATTTTTTTCTTTTTTCCTTTTCTAATTTCATTTAACTTCTTTTTTTTATATTCTTTTTCTCTTCATAATCTAATTTCATTTACTGTTTTCACTATTTTTTATTTTTCTTTTTTTAATATTATTACTAATGAAAAATTAAATTGTGTACCAGTTAAATGTAGCTCATACAACCAAAAAAATATTAACTAACATATGATACTAGTATAGTATATATATAGCTATACCAACAGGGTATACAATTGTACGCAATGAGTTAAAAAAAAATTAATTCAATTATTAAACTAAAATAATATCAGCTGTCAATAAAAAAATTTAAAAAATTCTAAAAGGATCTAATTGTAAGAGTATACCGTTACATCATATAGCATACTATAATTTATTTTTTTGGCATTTTCAATTTGCTCCTCACGCTGGGTAAAAGCTTAAACAAATTAAAAAGGAAAAGGCAAGTGAATTTTCGGGTAATATGTATACTACTATAGTATATTGAATACTATTACAGCATGTTGTTACAGTATCTTGCATATTATTACAGTATACCATAACAATATATTGTATACTATAATAGTATACTGTTGCAGTATAACTATTTACTCCTATAGTATATTAGTATACTGTAGCGGTATACTGTTTTGTAAACTATAATAGTGTACTGTTGCAGTATAGCTATATACTCCTACAGCATATTGTATACTGTAGCGGCATACTGTAACTGTGTTCTTCGATTTTCAACTGAAAATTTCGATCTCAATCACCTCAAATCAGGTCCAAGTGCTATCAAATTTTAGTATGAACTTCCAGAAGGTACTGTAAGCAATATTTAATAGCACTCACTTTGAATCAAACAAGAAATCTTCAAAAATAAAATTGAGCTTCAAGCCCAACAATGGTGGATATTCAATCTTGGGAGTGAACTTTTCTCTTCTGAAATCAATCTTCTCGATTTGCCATATTCCTGAATGGAATTGATGTGTTGTTGTGTCTGTTTGTATGTTTCTTCAAAATCTTTTTTCACTTTTTCTACTTCCTCCACCACCTCGTCCAATTGGGAGTTTTGCAGATATATGGAAGTGAAACTAGCAGGTAAATAGTTTGGGGAGTATGGGTAGGAGTAGTAAATAGTTTGGATCTGGGCATTAAAGGGTAAATAGTTCGGAATTAATGGGTATAAAGTGAGATTTTCTCAAAAAAATTCTAGAGAAGGAAAAAGAGTACAGATATCTAACAATACGTCTTTTGGTTGCCTCGTTAAAAACCTTAACTAAAAGAAAACCCAATGGGCCAAAACCTTGTAAGGGAAAAAGAGTACAACGCGTATTAACTCCCCCTGATGAGAGCATCAATTCACATCCTTAAGCATTTGCATTCTAATCTTGTGCACCATCTTCAAAAGATCTTTGCTAGAGATTTGATGAACAAATCAGCCATATTAACTTGAACGAATTTGTTTCACCTTGACATCATCATTCTTGATAGAGATGAATTGTCTTCCTATGATCTTGTTGGAATCGTCAGTTCAATATCTTCACATAGAGCTGAAAACTCTTGCTATCATATTATCATGTATATAGTTATAGCAAGATACATGTGCACAAATTGCATTGAGGATGTAGTACTTCATGACCATGAATTCTATATGCTTTAAGCAATTTAAATCCTTCGTGGATTGTCATATAAGTTAAGTCATATAAGCCATATAATAGATTTTAGATGCATATCAAGTTTTCATGTCATGCTAGACATATAAGATATCGAAAACTGATTGCACATACCATTGACTTTACACTTTCAAGTGTTTGAACTGCGGGTCCAAAACAACATGTCTTTCATATGAAACCAATTCTACTTGAATTGTTTCTCTAGACTTAAGATCCTCATATATATTTAGCGATATTATCGATGTTGTCGATAAATATTTTATATCGGTTCCAACCTCCTTATTTTTTATAAATACATAACATAGAGATCTCTTCATTTATATTTTCAGGTACCTGAATCTCTCTTGAGATTTTATGAAGTGTTATGTCATGTGATCTTCTAGATCACTTGCCTCCTTTATTATGATCATTTAGATCATTTGCTCATCTTCTTTATCAAGAAGTTTATTTGAAACCAATTTGTCTATACGCTTTAAGCGTACCATAGACTTTGTCCTTCCAAGACTTAATAGGAGCATTTGCAATGAGAATATAGTTACTTTCTTTGGGCCAGCAAATGCGTCTGGCATGCTTTGCAATATATTACAAATGAATTATCCTTTTATGTACTTCAAGTTCATATTATCTTATTTGAGGATCTAAATGTATAAATGATAATTCATTCCGCGTAACTTTTTCTCAACTGTTTATCATATCTCCCCCTCATGTTAGAAAAACTAACTTGTTTCCTCAACTTTGAGAACCCAGCTTTGTGCGATATGGTGTAAATCAAAATATACACCGCACATCAATAATAATAAGATGGAATTATTTGGTTCCTACCCTGAACCACTTGTGAGGGGAGAAAATAATATACTTTCGCGTATAACGTATATCAAATTGATATAGATAACTTTGTTCTCATAAGCAATTGTTTAGCTATTAAGTAGAGGCACTTAATAAATTATTTTGCTAAACCAACTATGATGTAAACCAACTTATCAAGATGAACTTCTTGAATAAAAAATCTGAAAATTATGCTCGAAATTAAATTATTGAGCAAGTTACCTCGCAAACACCATGTTGCGGGTTAATAATAATCGCACATGTAACCATCTCATAGACGCATCTTATGTGGTGTACATGGCAGGTGAATGGGCCCATATTCACCTTTGATATTTCCAGCATTCATGGGATTCAATTCCAGTTTTAGTTGGTATATTAATTAATGAGAACATGCAACATAAGAGAATTCGTAAAGAACTTTCTAGTTCTTTAATATTTACCCATGTGAATTCTCTTTTATTTTTGCACATCATACTTGAATTGATATGGGTAAATCAATTATGCCAACTGAATAAATTATCAATATTGATAAACTTCAGATTTACGACGTGTACAATTATCAATAAACTCCAAGTTTATTATGATATGGGTTTTTATATCAATAAACTTCTCTTTATTGTGGATTCTTTTGTTTGTGTAGTACAAACTGGAGAATAAATCGAGTAACTTTTCACATACATATTACCCCACTACAAGTTGTAGTAATAAAAGATATTAAATCTTTCCTTTATTTATAGTCTCAATATAACCAACCGCTTTCGCGACTACTTTAGAAACTAAATAAGTTTCTTTGAGACTTACTACGATACAATAAATTGACATGATAATCAATTGTATTCCTCCAAAATAGTAATAATTGGCTCTTCCAAAGCTCTCAATTAATTTTGTACTATCACATATTCATCAACATCCATATGGTCATATATCTATTTCAAGGAGAAAGTTATACCATTATGGCTATGGTCAAAATTATATGCAAGATATGTTTCTTGCATTATTGTTGTCCTTTAATAATCACATTACCAAAATATTTTGGCGTACAATAGGTACGTGACCAATGATCATTCATGCCATAATAAGACACAGTTTTTTTATATCATCTCAAACCTCCTTTTGAGGCGAGCGTGGTATATTCACTACCACTAGCACATTCATATTCTTCCAAGAATGAATATGTATTCATAAATCAGATGTTGTCACATTCACATCATGAATGGACCATAATCATCTATATGTGCTTTATAAAATCTCATGTCAAATCGATGACAAATATTACTTTCACAAAGTAAAGGATTATTTTGAGAATCCTTATTATTCTCATTACCACGATGTGACGATTATAATTTCGTCTATTACCACGTCCACATCCATTGATACCTTTATGGTAATAATTTTGTCTTATTTCAGACTTATCACATATTGCTAACACATTCTCTTAAGGGAATGAGAATAAAGCAAATTCAATAGGACAGGTTTCTACTTTTTGTGCTCACGATCATACATGACTTTGATCATGGCAAGACATAGAAATTTTACCACTTCATGTGATTATAATTTCTTACAAACTCTATTAGAGTTATAATTAAAATTTATTGTTTTTGCTTGTATTTAAAATCAAATTATAGAATAAAAGAAAAAAATACGATAAAATACTTACCCTAAATCCAGAATTAAATCATGAAGGAAGTTCATGGAACAATTAACAATCATTATTCTCAATCCCAAAGCTTCTACTCAATTGGTTAGAGTCTCGTGCTGATAACGTGTTATAAAACAATAAAAGAAGAATAATAGTATTGCAGAGAAAAGTAGGGAGAGAAAATTCTTATTGATTTTGGGATGAATTACAATGGAATAGAACCCTCTATTTATAGGGAGAGAGTGACTTAGCCACCAAGTAATAAACTCTAGAATCTCTCTTAATATAGACATTCACTATAAATAAAATTCTATTTATAACATTTTGAAAGTTATAGTGTTGTTTAGATATGTATTTTATTTGAAAAAAATTTAAATTTTTGTGAATGAAAGTAAAATTTTCACCCAAAAAACTAAACAGATTTTTGGAAATTGGAAAAAAAAATCAATTTTTTCAAAATTGATTATATTTTATGAACAACTAATATTTTCAAAAAAAAAAAATAGTCAAAAAACTATAGTCAAACTCGAGCTTAATCTTTTTATCATTTAAGTAAAGAAATGCCTTGAGTTAGAAGTAAAAGGAGGGGCTCCATTTGTTCCGAGAATTTAACTCATAGCACTGTTTTAAATAATTGTTTGCATATAATATGTCTTATCTTATAAGTTATTGAACGTGCGGACTATTAATTTATTTTAGTAAAAAAATTAAGTACAGTTATCTTTTATATAATCTATAAAGACTCTGTACGGTTAGGAATAGAAGTGAAACTCTAACCTAAATTCAAAGACGTAAAGATATATGACTTAAGTTAACTAAAAAAGATACAATAAGAAGAGAAATGACGGCGAAAGTGTAAGACTCGCAACTCGGCTTAGTTCGGCGGATGATTGGCACATAGAGGATTTTGGAAAAATTAACAAAAAAGTACAGATTTTAATTCTCCAATAGAAACATAATTTTTTCTTTGTAATTTCGAGTTTGTTCAGTTTTTTTAATGATTAATAAAGAAAGGTTATAAAGAAAAAGGTAATAGGCAAAATGGAAGAATAATGTTAGGAATTTATGCAAAAATAGTAAACGTGTATATGAAATTCCTAGCAATAGATCTCAGGTGCACAAAGACCCAAATCTAAACAACACTCAGAGTTTGCTGCAATGTACTCCTCTAATACTAATAGGGTTGGGCAATCTTGAGAAGTGATTTGAGTTATAATTAACTAAACTGCGGCTAGTCAATGTAATAGGGGGAGCAATCCTGACTAAGCTGACTCGGCTATAACTGAAAACTTGGTCGATTTCAAATTTTCAATAAATAAGCTACGATTTGCAGCAATCTAAGTAATAAGATGGAGCAATCTCCACAAAAGGTGGTAGTGAAATCACAGAGTTATAATTTCTTTAATATAGTCATGTGATTGAGCAATTAGCAACCCAATATTGGACATATGATTCTAATCGCATACAACTGAATTATCCCTTTTGACCTCTATGCCTTATAGTGGGTGAAAGCTGTATTGGCCTATCAAAGTCCCATCATTTTTGCTTGCCAAGAATTGGTGTGAAAGGCTTTATTTTTTAAGTGAAAAAAACAAGACTGCTGAGCTGTCTGGCTTCTAGTTAGGTTTTGAATGGTAAATAGGAATTTATCAGTGTTTGCTTCCCAAGATTACACTTAACCCCCCATCCATTTATCATCATTTCTTTTGACATCACCCATCCCCTTAATTCTGTTCATTTAATAAGGTCTTTTTTCACAATAGATCAGCAAAATAAAACATATTAGATCTTTGTAAGATCATTTTTGTAATCAAATTGCAATTGGTCATAGGAGATTATGTTCTCGTTTCAGTTGACTGATTCTCCCTCATTTCTGAAGAGGGGTCCAACACCCACATGAAAACCATGTGTTTTTCCCTTCCTGCAGATCCACTTCTCTAGTCTCAATCACTTATTATCCTGTTTGGTCAAGTTTCTCCAAATTAAATGGCCAAGCTTTTGGAAGAAAAAAAATATTTTTGAGTACAATCAATTTTAAAGAAGCAGAAAAAAATTCAAATTAATTAGCCAAACACAAACTGCTTCTTACCAAAAGTACTTTTGAGAAAAAGACTCACTTCTCAAAATAAGTTGATTTTTGACACAGGCTATTAGACTACTATGCAACAAGAAATGGATGGCGGAAATTGAAGCTAGATATCTTTAAACCTTACAATATTAACCAACTCGTTATCCAGTCCAATTCACTGCAAGGCCTTACTCTACTGATTATTAAAGGCAGGGAGAGCTCGTAGGTTTGCATCTATTTCCAAAATTGCAACTCCAAAAAGTAATACTGCTTGGATTAAATAGGCATTAGTTTAGAACATAAATCTCTTTGCTTTGATTGCATACTAACTATTGAATTACCACAGAAAATATCACCACATTTTGCAAAATCTGCACTAAAATCCAAATATCAAGATATACAACCTTTCATTAATCTCCAGGATAAACTTGTAAAAGCGTCAGGGCAGCCATAATGCCGAAACTAGTGACTATATATTCCTATTGGCTTACAAAATATCAAACTGCAGACATAGCCAGGTTCTATAGCAAAATCAGCGAGAGCTATGTAGAAGCTCTTTGCGCTTCAATCAAATTTGTTATACGATACCTCTGTTCCCAAACCACTTCCTTTTCACTGTGCTCATTAAGGTCAAGTATAGGGTACTTCCACATCAATGAGGTCCCATCTATCTTCATCGGACTTATACCCCTCATCTTTCAAAGTTTCTTGTGTATCCCATGGGAAAGCTTTCGGTTGAGGCCTTCTGCAAATATGGAGGAAAAGCTTGGTTAGTTATCATTAGCAATTGTTAATCCAGTGCATGCGATAAGAGTTAACAATGCTTAAACTAAGCTATTAAAATTGAAGGCAAAACTGAGCAAGCACAAGCACGAGAACTCAAGACGTCAAGATCTGACAAATCTGATAATGAATTAAAATGTAGGTTTCTATTCCCAGGAGGTTCCAAACTCTTGCTCATCACCTCCCTCCGATCGGTCTGTCTCGCGGTCCATCTTTTACTTCCCAAGATTAAGATGACAAAAGGTAACCTCTCTTTTGCTGACCTCAAATTCAGCAAAACTATCCATCATTTCAGGTACTAGAGCTAAATATATCAGTAGTGATAGAAAGGGAGTCAACAGAGCCACGAGCCTAAACTTAATCAAGAACCAGAGAACCATGTGATCAACAGCTGAAAGTAAGGAAAACAGAATCAAATAAGGCCAGATAGAATTCAGCACCAAAGTCAATGAACAACAGCAAATGCAATTCAATTATATCCTCAATTAAGCACCATCAGATTAAAGTGTGCATCATCATTTCGGGAGTTTTCACAGGGCTCCGTTCATCATCCTCATTTCACTCCTGATGTCAATGGCAATGTCAAATCCAATAGAAGAGAACTGAAAGACAATCTCCAGAGACGGAAATTACAGAGTCAAATGGCACCTCATGGATTTCAAAAGAGTTCCAGAATTCAGTAAATGTTGGCTTGTCATAAGCATCCAAAATAAACTGAAGAACTCAAATCACTCATTGTTGAGAAATGGCTAGGGATAAGAAGAGGTCAGGCATTGCAAAGAGTTATCATCTCAATGCATTTATATTAACAAATTAATGGATTCAAATGTAAATCCTAGGAAAAGATAACACCCAAATGCTTCTTCTTTAAAAGATTCCAGCTTCACCCTATCTATCTGGAAAAATCAACAATGGAAAGGCATCTTATTTTATATCTAAAGGACCTATGACTGTTGTTAACTGCTAACACCCGACCCAAACTTTCAGAAGAGCAACAGAGAGCGAACAGGAAAAGCAAGCATCCACCAGTTGATTTGTTCTTACAGTCTGATAATACCAGAAATTACTTACACTCGGGCTCAGCTAGTTGCAGTCAGGACCTTTTCAGCATGCTGCATTTAGCAGAAACTAGGCACGACCATAACTGAACTGTGAGAACTTTCAGAGAAGGGCATGTCCAATATGTTCTCACCAAAGGATTAAAAGAAGCTACGAGACCAAGACGGATTGATTTGGAATGGAAGAAAAATGTAGGAGATATTGGTAATTGGCTCCATATCTTCTAGATGTAAGGAAACAAATATTGAATTAATATTAGCAGATATCATTAAAGAAAAATCTGAAATCGAGGTGGTTTTAACTGATAATATAACTTTTTAGCGTCAAATTAATTACGCAGAACTAAATTCAGCATTAGGCATGTGCTCATAAATGTGAATGACCTACTTTGCATCACGCAACAAGAGAAGAAAAACTGCTTATGCAAGCCAGATACGTTATCTCTTGAAGGAGTTTATTTCACTTTTGTTTTAGACCTCCATAATATCTTGGTTAGGCAATCAAACCCCTCAAACTTTTGCACCAAGGCAAGCATTTTCCCCATTTCCTTTCCACTGTCTTCTCTATTTTTTAAGATGGGAACTCCACTTAGGTGAGTTATGCTAAGTTTAATCAGTCCCAAACACGGATAAAGAAGGATGGTTGGGTAGATTGCGTTAGGTTGATGGCTATAGTATAAATGGTACAAGGGTTGCTATAGGTTGATGGTCAGTATAGAACGACAGTCTAACTTTGATGAGTGAATTTCTTAATACTGAAGAGTAAAATCGATGCACGTGATCATATAACCGATCCCAACTAATTCACGATTGCTGCAAATCTGATTGATTAGTTTTTTATCTCTAAGATGGACTAAAGAGAAAGCTCTATTTAGAATAATAGAAGTGGAACCAAAGTATAGAATGTTCAGTTTCCAGAACATGAACACTATTTGGGACAGTTAAAAGAAGGATGTGCAGAAATTGATTTGGGACAACGACAAATGTTTAGTTTTTTTTTCTAATTCTAAAAGGATTATGAAAATGTCAATTGTCAGGGAGAATAGTGGTAGACTACCCACTTTTCTACAGAATTAACGGCTATATCATGCAAAAGCATAATCTCAACATTGCCACAAAATTAGTTTGAAGGGGCAAAGCCTCAACTGGCCAAATTTTAAGGGGCTCAGCTACAATATCTGATGCTTCTCTGTTCTAACCTCAAAATGCATTTAGCTCCCATTAAAGTGCTTTATACTTTTGCTGTGATACATGGGACTCCACCACGAAGAAATTGACTAACTCAGGCAACTTTAGAACTTCAACAAAGAGACCAAACAGAACAGAGCCATCGAAAAATGAAGAGTGGATATATAGATAATCAAATGTTTGTTGTGGAATACGTATATTTATCTATTTATTTACTGCAACACATAACAAATTTCATACCATTCTTTCTGAACAGCATAAAATTGAATAGATAAAAGATTAACACCCAACGAAGATTTAAAGAACAACGATAATTAAAATGCAACAATCGAGGCAAACCTTTTGCGGTTACGTTTAGCAGCTTCACGAGATTTCCTTTTCTTCTTTTCCTGAGTAGATTCAAAGAATCTTCGGCGCTTACTCTCTTGGATAACTCCAGCCCTGAGAACTTCTCTACGAAAGCGGCCGATGAGCTTCTCTTCGGGCTCGTTCTCCCCAGCTATAACCTGAACATTATACGCTGATTTAAAGAAGAGAATATTGGAAAATGAAAGTGAAGGGAACAGACGGTCGGAAGAAGACTGACGATCTTTGTCTAGTTTTAGTATTGGGGTTATAGGGGTTGTAGGTGACGATATGGTCGAGAGAGATGGAAGATTGGAAGGGACGACAGGACCAGTAGTGAGTTGCGCAGGTTTGGGAAGAGAGTTTGTAATACAATGTTGGTTGTCCGGAGAAGAAAGCGAAGGGTTGAAGGAAGATGGTGACAGAAAAAGCGCCATTGATTTGTGGGTTTAAAGCTTAAGCTATAGGGTTTTACATTGCCATTGAATATTTGATCAAACCCTCCCGATTAAAACACAAAGTACGCCTGTAGTTTCAATTTTCAAGCAAATGATGAAACGACCTATTAAGTTTCAATAATTGTCTTCTCAGATTAAAATTTTGTTAGGACAATAAAAGAGAAAATTAATTAATAATAAGTTATTATAAACTACTAACCAATTGTTACAAGGATAATAGTCATTGTATGCACCAATTAAGTAGTAGAATAGTACGGTTTCATTTTGGCCTTTAGCTAATTGTCATGTATTATGTGTAGAACCACTCGAAGCTAGTAAGTTAACAGCACTAATTACTATACTTGATAGATTAATAGTGAGAAAAAGAACTATATAGTAAAATGGGTGTTTTATCCAACTTATTTCATGTGAGTAATATTTAATCAAAGCATATAATTTAAAAGATAAATTTGACATATGTATTGTATTACAACCGTAATAATTGAATATAATATTAAAAGTATAACTAAAAAGTTATTAACAAATAAATAAATTTGTGTTATGAACAATAAAAGAAAAGAAGAATATTGCAGAGAAAAGTAGGGAGAGAGAATTCTTATTGATTTTTGGGATGAATTACAATGGAATAGAACCCTCTATTTATAGGAGAAGTTGACTTAGCCACCAAGTAATAAACCCTAGGATCTCTCTAAATATGGACATTCACCATAAATAGAATTCTATTTATAACACTCCCGCTGAATGTCTATTCAACAGATAATATGCCTCGTTAAAACCTTAACTAAAAGAAAACCCAATGGGAAAAAAAATTCTAGAAAAGGAAAAAGAGTACACATGTTTAGAAATGCGCCTATTGGTTGCCTCGTTAAAAATCTTGCAAGGAAAACCCAGTGGGACAAAACCTTGTAAGGGAAAAAGAGTGCAACGCGCATTGACTCCCCCTGATGAGGGCATCAATTCACATCCTTGAGCCTTCGCATCCCGATCTTGTATACTAGCTTCTTGAAGGTTGACGTTGGTAGAGATTTTGTGAACAAATCAGCCATATTATCACTTGAACGAATCTGTTGCACATTGATATCACCATTCTTTTGAAGATCATGTGTGAAAAATAACTTTGGTGAAATATGCTTTTTCCTATCTCCTTTTATGAATCCTCCATTCAATTGAGCTATGCATGCTGCATTATCTTCATACAAAATCGTGGGTAGTTTGTCACATTTCACACCACATTTGTCTCGAATAAGATGTATTATAGACCTCAACCACACACATTCTCGACTTGCTTCATGAATAGCAATTATCTCAGCATGATTAGATGAAGTAGCCACAATTGATTGCTTAGTCGATCGCCAAGATATGGCAGTGCCTCTACAGGTAAACACATAACCTGTTTGAGATCGAGCCTTGTGTGGATCGGATAAATACCCAGCATCGGCATAACCAACAAGACCAGGACTGCAATTATTGCCATAAAATAAGCCCATATCGGTAGTCCCTTTTAGATACCGCAATATGTGTTTGATTCCATTCCAATGTCTCCTTGTAGGAGCAGAGCTATATCTTGCTAAGACATTAACTGAAAAAGTTATGTCGGGCCTTGTTGTATTAGCAAGATACATTAGTGCACCAATTGCACTAAGATATGGTACTTCAGGACCAAGTAGCTCTTCATTCTCTTCTTGAGGTCGGAATGGATCCTTATTCACATCAAGTGATCGAACAACCATCAGAGTACTTAATGGATGTGCTCCATCCATGTAAAGCCGTTTCAATACCTTTTCTATGTAGGTAGATTGATGAACAAAAATTCCGTTTGCCAAATGTTCAATTTGCAAACCAAGACATAATTTTGTCTTTCCGGGATCTTTCATCTCGAATTCGTTCTTTAAATAATCAATTGCCTTTTGGAGTTCTATAGGAGTTCCAATAAGGTTTATGTCATCAACATATACGGCAAGTACAACAAATTCCGATGTCGTTTTCTTCATAAAAACACATGGGAAAATGGCATCATTTATATAGCCTTCCTTTAATAAATACTCACTAAGACGATTATACCACATTCGTCCTGATTGCTTTAGACCGTACAAAGATCTTTGCAATTTGATTGAAAACATTTTCCGGGACTTTGAATTATTTGCTTTAGGCATTTTGAATCCCTCGGGAATTCTCATGTATATCTCATTATCAAGTGAGCCATAAAGGTAGGCGGTAACCACATCCATTAAATGCATGTCAAGCTTTTCATTGACAGCAAAACTAATGAGATAACGGAACGTTATAGCATCCATAACGGGTGAATATGTCTCTTCATAATCGACACCAGGCCTTTGTGAAAATCCTTGTGCAACAAGGCGTGCCTTACATCTTTGTACCTCATTTTTCTCATTTCTCTTGCGTACAAAGACCCATTTATAGCCAACAGGCTTAACACCATTAGGTGTTTGGACTACAGGCCCAAACACTTCATGTTTTGCAAGTGAATTCAACTCTGATTGGATTGCTTCTTGCCATTTTGGCCAATCAAGTCTTTGTCGACATTCTCCAATAGATTGAGGTTCAAGATCCTCACTTTCTTGCATAATACTAGATGCAACATTATATGCAAAGACATAATCCACCACTATATCCACTCGATTCAAATTTGTCTCAATATCGATTGGATTTATTGATAGTTCCTTATTTTCTTGAGTCTCAGGCTCAGTGGATTCCTTATGAATCTTAGAATTTATTAAATCGTGGATTTCTTCATGAGATTCTTTCGTAGTGTCATTTTGATCATTTGTTTTCCTTTTTCTAGGATTTCGATCTTTGGAACCTAATGGTCTGCCATGTTTTAGGCGTGCTTTTGACTCATTAGCTATGACACTAGAAGATTGTCCAATAGGGACATCAATACGGATTGGAACATTCTCTGTAGGGATATGTGATTTTGTTATCCTTTTCAAATCCGTAAATGCGTCTGGCATTTGATTTGCTATTCTCTGCAAATGGATAATCTTTTGCACCTCTTTTTCACAAATAGAGGCACGTGGATCAAGATGAGATAATGATGGATTTTTTCACAAAATTTCCCGTTTGGTTTCACCAACTTCTCCCCCTAATTTTGGGAAGAGTGTCTCATCGAATCGACAGTCTGCAAATCGTGCAGTAAACAAATCCCCCGTTAATGTTTCGAGGTAGCGAATAATGGAGGGCGATTCAAACCCAACATATATTCCTAACCTTCTTTACGGACCCATTTTGGTGCGATATGGCGGTGCTACAGGCACATATACTGCGCATCCAAAAATTCTTAAATGGGATATATTAGGTTCATGACCCAAAACTAATTGCAACGGGGAATATTTATGATAATTTGTCGGTCTGAGACGAACTAGCATTGCTGCATGCAAAATGGCGTGACCCCAAACAGAAGTGGGCAGCCTCGTTTTCATGAGTAACGGTCTTGCTATCAATTGCAGACGTTTAATTAAAGACTCTGCAAGACCATTTTGAGTGTGAACATGAGCTACAGGATGTTCCACTTTTATCCCAATTGATAAGCAATAATCATTAAATGCTTGGGATGAAAACTCAGCAGCATTATCAAGTCTAATAGACTTAATTGGATTATCGGGGAATTGTGCCCGTAATCGAATTATTTGTGCCATTAATTTTGCAAACGCGAGGTTGCGTGATGACAATAGGCACACATGAGACCATCTAGAAGATGCGTCTATTAAGACCATAAAGTATCTAAACGACCCACTAGGTGAGTGAATAGGTCCACAAATGTCCCCTTGTATACGTTTCAAAAATGCAGGGGACTCAATTCCAACCTTTGTTGGTGATGGTCTAATAATTAACTTGCCTTGATAACAAGAAGTGCAAGAAAATTCATTATTTAAAAGAATCTTTAAATTCTTTAATGGATGCCCATTTGAGTTTTCTATAATTCGTCTCATCATAATTGATC